AGAGACTAAATGACAAAATTGAAATATAGGTCAAATTGCGGGCGCGATCTATTTTGCAGTTGGAATTTTTTTTTAATATTTATTTAGCATTTTTCCTAGAAAGATCACAACAAAATCTACGAGTACTCCAATTTTCACGTTTTGTCACTCATTTTTCTGAGCGTGAAAACTCACTGAATTTGGAGTACTTTTTTAGTTGGCCCAGGCATGGCTGCGTGGCAAAAATGGAAAATGTGTCGAATCAGCGCGACGATTATTTCGCAGTGTAAATGATTTTTTGTAAATGTTCTATTATTATTTATAGAAAGAACACGACCTCATCTATGGATTCTCAAAATTTCAGATTTTTTTGCATGCTCGTCCGAGCACAGAAAATCATCAAAGTTGTCTCTTGCAAAACGCCTATTTCGTTGTGTCTGACCTCCTTGTTTTGAGAAGACAGGGCTCAATGTCTGGGCCTGAGGGTCCTTTTGCATTGCAGTTCACATACCCTCACTTCTTTTTGGGGTCCACTTCTACCCGGGGACCGGTTCAACGCCCCCCCACTTCTTTTGGGGGTCCACTTCCACCCGAGGACCGGTCCTTCCTTTTTCCAAAAGTCCCGATTCTACCAGAGCTAGCTGTAGGTAGTCCGCAATTTTGGCAAGGACCGGTCCCCCAAATTTTTTTGCCCCCTGAGAACCCACTTTGCGTCCTGGTCGTCCGCTGCCAAAAATTTGACACCTTGACACAGACGCAGAAGCCCACTATACCGCAGCCTAAGGGTTGCGAACTCCGATTTCAATGATTTTTTTATTTTTATTTTTTTCAAATTTGTCAACTTGAGGTCGGGGACCTCACAATTCGACCCAGAGTTATCCCGGCAGCATCAGCCGGTTTCGTTCACAGCCCCAAGGCTGGAACATTCCTTCGCCAAGCAAAACATATTTGCTTAAAACTGCTTGTAATAATAGTGTAGATATCTATCCCTCATTACTACTACCACCGAAGTCACTTTTTTTAATCTTCTACTGATGTCTGTCTTTACCCCCCCTACCAAATCTTGATCTACTCTACTACACAGACCTAACTATGGTTTGAGCTCGACCCAACTTTGACCGCCGAGGAACTCCCTTGGGTTCCTACAGTCCCCCTGACACTCTCCCGACCCTCCCACCCTCACGGTCTACAGCAACCGTCTTCTAGAACCAAGTGTCCAGGTTCAACCCTTATTCTAACCTTACTTCTAGGCAAACTCCAACCATCTACTGAAACTCAACTGCCCATCCGTGGAGATGGATACCATCCTGTCACTCTGGGCCCAGGTGTTCCGAAACCATGCGAGCCCCTCCCTTCTGTCTGCCGAGGCCTGCCTTTCTGAACCAGTCGGCCCTGATTGCGGTAACCAGTAATCCCCTGAAGGTTGCCGCTGCCTGTTTTTCGTGGAGACCTCCTTTAAATCTGAGGTTATTCCTATCTAACCAAATGACCCATAGCATAGCTGCCCTGGCCACCTATGCCACATAGCCCCAACCCTCTGTGCTTCTGAAGTTTTCTGGGAGACCAGCAAACAGAACCCACCTCTGACCCGTCAGGATCTCATCTCTTGTGATCCACTTCCAATACCTTACCCATCAGTCCCACCATTTCTTGGATTTGGGGCAGTCCCACCGAAGATGACTTATTGATTCATGAGCTCCCTGACACCTATCGCAGCAGGACTCAAACTCCATTCCTTTCTCCTTTAACCATTGTATTGTGGAAACCGCCAGGTGCGACTGCAACCACAGCAGGGAGGCGAGCTTTTAAGAGGGTGTGTTCTTAAGTTGAGCCCAAAGTCTGAGTAGCTCTGTATCAGAGGGAGGCTGGAGCTCAGGAATCTCTCTCTCCCAACAGTAGGCTATCTTACTGCAAAGTGTGCCTGACGCCTTCCTCCTTTTCTAAATCTGGGAGGCAGATAGCGAGTCCAGACATCTGATGCAGTCATCCTTTACTGATCAGTACCATGCCGCTGGGTCTATCCTGAGTTTGTAAAGGAGAGTGTCGTTGCCTACCGGGTAGCGGATGGGCGACATTCCTTCTTGAGACGGCGGTTGAGAGTCACTCTGACTTCCTCGAGATCCGTGAGTCCGTACTTCAGTTGAATTTCATACCTCTCCAAGATTGGTTGGTCTGGGAGAACTCTTTTATATGTCTCCAGACAACACTTGTCGCACTCATCACCCGTCCATCTTTCCAGTCTGCAGAACCATTCAGTGATTTTTTGTGCTCATAATAATGCATGAAAAAACCTAAAAATTTGAGTGTTCGTAGATTATGTTGTGGTCTTTCAAGGAAAAATATTACATAAATTTAAAACAATCATTTTAATTGTCAACTAGATCACAACCACAATCTGAGCCATATTTTAATTTTGCCATTCAACCCCTCTCTCTCTCTCTCTCTCTCTCTCTCTCTCTCTCTCTCTCTCTCTCTCTCTCTCGCGCGCGCGCGCGCGCGCGCGCGCGTGTGTGCGCTTAGTAACATTGTTTTGGCTACCTTAGTACTGCATTTCCCGCGCCCACACAATAGACAATCAAGGTGTCGCATTTTTTAACAGTGGGCGACTAACGCGTAAAGGGGTGGGTGAGGGGAAAAAATTATCGAAAGACTGACCCATCACGTTTTTATGGGCGACCTACAACTATCGCGAGGAGAACCAACATGGTAGCGAAATTGGTGGACTGACCCTCAAGTCAATGTGGTCCACAAAAGGAGTATCAGCGGGTCCAGTCACGCAATTTGCAAGGGGGAACTTTGACGATTTTTTTTGCTCAGAAGAATTCGCAGGGTATTTGCCCGCGTTTGTGCAAGTTACACGGAGTATGTCTACGATGCTAGCTGATACAGTGCCACGCCCTCTTTAAGAGACTCGCGCCCGAGCCGTTGGTCTTGAGATATTTCGAGCAAGTAGAGCTAGGTTAGAGTGCATGTGTGGGTCCACATTACTGCGACACGTGGAACGTGACCAGACTGTCGCCGGTCGTAAAGATCGACAAGACAAGAAACACGTTGTTTCAGTTGGCACGCTCATGAATTATTGAGACGTGCATATGAGTCTCAATTTCGGTTGAATCTAGTGAGTGAAGGGGACTGCAAGCACTAGGGCGGCTTAGTTGGCTTGCTGGTGGAAGGGCTAATTAGTCTATAGAGATGCGGGTTCACGTTTAAATCCCCACCGGATCGGTCAGGTAGATAGTAGGTTGAGCATCGACTGATCTAGCTTGGTTGGTACACCCATAAATTGTTGAAATACAAATTTCAGTTTCAATATAATTGCAGTCAGATGAATAAAACAACACAATTTTAAAAGTTGGTCAGACTCATTATGACGTTTTAAGCTTGCACTCTGGCTTAGAGTAAGAGAGGGCACACACATACTACAATCATGTAGCCATTCATAGGTATAGCAGCTAGCAACTGCATTCGTGGAAGTGTTAGTAGTTCCCTCTTTTATTCTTTAGGTCCGCCCTTTGTAATTAATCATTCTAACTATAGTAATTTTTGAATGAAGCTGAGCGATTGGACTGGTTAGATACATGCTAGACAAAAGGAGGATCAT